TGCTGACAATCGGCAGAAAAAGACGTTGAACGGTAATTAAACGTAACCAGAAACATGTTTATCATGCATCATGTTTAGTATGACAGGTTCGTAGATTGACTGATTGACTTAAACTAGTTGTCTACCATTCTGCTCAATGACGATTTATGAATTTATCTGACTGTTAACTTTATTAAAAACAACTTTTTCTTTATTACCATTAGCTGAGCATTCTTGTCTGCCAACAACGAACCATAGTAAACATTTGCCCCGTCACCACCAGCGTGCTTAATTAATTAATCGACGAGATCTTTCGCACCAGTGCTGAGTCATTCGTTTAGGTCTTTACTTTGGTTCTTTGTAATCTTGTCAGTAATCACGGGATTCATGCCTGGGCTTCTGGCTTTTCAAGGTGGTCCAAAAACGAAATGTCAAAATGTTCATGTTCTTTCAGCTTTTTTCGAAGTGATTGTGGTTTATATATACATAAAAAAAGTTGTTTTCTCCCCCATGTTCTTTTGATAATTTACTAGGCAATATTGTTTTATTGGACACTTTTTGTGTATAGACTCTGCGAGCAGTATCTCCTTTGCTCTATAACMTCTGGTGAAGAGCGAGAAAGGTCGAACGAGCAAGGTATTCGAGGGGCGAACGGCGAAGCTTTGAGCGGCTCGGAAGACGCCGTAAAAAGAGGTTCGCACTTTTCACAACACGCTCCCTACTCCTTCTCGTACTCGTTGTCTCAGGTTTTACATTCATGCCCGTGGATATTAGAGGAAATTTAAAGAGAGACTGCTTGCAGTCTATTTTGTGTACAATAAATAGGGTGCAGAAACGTGGAGGATGTGTCACTGAAATTACATGACGTATAAGGGAACACTGCTTTGTGTATAATGCAGGCTTGGGCTAACGGTAAACATTTAAAAACTTATAACATCCATTGCAGGTCAATATAGAACAAATTTCTAAATCCTCTCTCCATACACACCATACAAACCTCCACTTGCAATCGCTCTTTTTACTCTTCAAGTGAAATTGGAGATTTTAGAAATTTGAGACCTTAAACTGCAGTTATCACAACAACTAGGCGCTCTTAGAGCGTTTACTCGGGCTTCGTACCGCAGTATCAAATCGTACTTTGCGAAAACGCGTATTCGACACAATGCAAACAAAAGAATCACGATATTTTAGCACAAGAGCTCCGCTTCGATATTTACTATTCAAGTTGTTTCGTTGAGTATCCTCCTAATCCAATCGCAAGTTGTGAGTTTAAACCATTTTGGTGCAAGAATGAAGCATAGCTGTCTACGCATTTATGGAGAACTTGTATGCAAAGAATTTTCCAGGTCTTTTTACAACTTATGGCGATTACATTGTACATGCTAGCAGAAATTGTACGAAGTTCGTTTACTGGTCGTGGCGATCCGAGTAAATTGTGCAGCTGAACATATTTACCGTGTCGCGATCTTAAACCGTTTTCAAGAGGCTTATCTCCTTTGGAGAGCGCATAGATAAACTCCTTCGCGAAAACAACAGTCCTAGGACAAGGCGCAAATTGCATTGCACTTAATTTGCTTGAACTTTCAAGTTGTGTTTTTTGCGGATAACTTCCGAGCATTTGCGACCCTTAACACAGTTTATGAAGAAATATTTAACCTACATACTTTTATTGAATCAAGGCAGGAGTATTTTTAAAAGGGAACTCATTTATGAGAGGAAATGCGGCATTCTCTTTTGCTATTTAATTTGGTTTCATACTCGTCTAGTTCATGTCACGCAACATGGTTTTCTTTAGCAGTCAG